TGATTATGAGTATGTGAGTATGTGAGTATGTCAGTATGTGAGTATGTCAGTATGAGTATGTCAGTATGTGAGTATGTCAGTATGTGAATATGAGTATATCAGTATGTGAGTATGTCAGTATGTGAGTAGTATGAGTATGTCAGTATGTGAGTATGAGTATGTCATGTAGTATGAGTATGTCAGTATGTGTATGTGAGTATGTCAGTATGTGAGTATGTGAGTATGTCAGTATGTGAGTATGTCAGTATGTGAGTATGAGTATGTCAGTATGTGAGTATGTGAGTATGTCAGTATGTGAGTATGTCAGTATGTGAATATATGAGTATGAGTATGTCAGTATGTCAGTCAGTATGTGAGTATGAGTATGTGAGTATGAGTATGTCAGTATGTCAGTATGTGAGTATGTCAGTATGTGAGTATGTCAGTATGAGTATGTCAGTATGTGAGTATGTCAGTATGTGAATATGAGTATGTCAGTATGTGAGTATGTCAGTATGTGAGTATGAGTATGTCAGTATGTGAGTATGTGAGTATGTCAGTATGTGAGTATGTCAGTATGTGAGTATGTCGGTATGTGAGTATGTCGGTATGTGAGTATGTGAGTATGTCAGTATGTGAGTATGTCAGTATGTGAATATGAGTATGTCAGTATGTGAATATGAGTATGTCAGTATGTGAGTATGTCAGTATGTGAGTATGTCAGTATGAGTATGTCAGTATGTGAGTATGTGAGTATGTCAGTATGTGAGTATGTCAGTATGTGAGTATGTCGAGTATGTGAGTATGTCGAGTATGTGAGTATGTCAGTATGTGAGTATGTCAGTATGTGAGTATGTCAGTATGTGAATATGAGTATGTCAGTATGTGAATATGAGTATGTCAGTATGTGAGTATGTCAGTATGTGAGTATGTCAGTATGTGAGTATGTCAGTATGAGTATGTCAGTATGTGAGTATGTCAGTATGAGTATGTCAGTATGTGAGTATGTCAGTATGTGAGTATGTGAGTATGTCAGTATGTGAGTATGTCGAGTATGTCAGTATGTGAGTATGTCAGTATGTGAGTATGTCAGTATGTGAGTATGTGAGTATGTCAGTATGTGAGTATGTGAGTATGTCAGTATGTGAGTATGTCAGTATGAGTATGTCAGTATGTGAGTATGTCAGTATGTGAGTATGAGTATGTCAGTATGTGAGTATGTCAGTATGTGAGTATGTCAGTATGTGAGTATGTCAGTATGTGAGTATGTCAGTATGTCAGTGAGTATGTGAGTATGTCAGTATGTCAGTATGTGAGTATGTGAGTATGTCAGTATGTGAGTATGTCAGTATGTGAGTATGTCAGTATGTCAGTATGTCAGTATGAGTATGTGAGTATGTGAGTATGTCAGTATGTGAGTATGTGAGTATGTCAGTATGTGAGTATGTGAGTATGTCAGTATGTGAGTATGTCAGTATGTCAGTATGTGAGTATGTCAGTATGTGAGTATGTCAGTATGTGAGTATGTCAGTATGTGAGTATGTCAGTATGTCAGTATGAGTATGTCAGTATGTGAGTATGTGAGTATGTCAGTATGTGAGTATGTGAGTATGTCAGTATGTCAGTATGTGAGTATGTGAGTATGTCAGTATGTCAGTATGTCAGTATGTGAGTATGTCAGTATGTGAGTATGTGAGTATGTCAGTATGAGTATGTGAGTATGTCAGTATGTGAGTATGTCAGTATGTGAGTATGTCAGTATGTGAGTATGTCGGTATGTCGGTATGTCAGCATTCCGTCTGTGTCCAGAGTGAAGAAGCGGGACATACAGGAAGTGAAGTTCAGGCGTTGGCGTCAGAGTCTCTGGTGGTTTCAGTTTTATTTCTTTTATTGTTGCGTTTGTGGAGAAACAATAAACTCGCACATGTCACGGCGCGACAATAATCACCGTTTACAAACTCAACGCACGGACACGGGAAAACGAAACGAAAGATGCATTTTAGCAGAAATTTGAGCCACAGTTTGTCCTGATTTACAAAATAATGTTTGATTTGTTTTGTTTTCAGACGGAGCTGAACGTCCAGAGTCTTTACTGTCGCCATTCTGGAAAATATTTGTCCATCACTTTTCTCTTAAAAATTATTTTAACAGTTCACACGTCCTGGTTTAGTCCTGGTTTAGTCCTGGTTTAGTCCTGGTTTAGACCTGGTTTAGTCCTGGTTTAGTCCTGGTTTTAGTCCTGGTTTAGTCCTGGTTTAGTCCTGGTTTAGTCCTGGTTTTAGACCTGGTTTAGTCCTGGTTTAGTCCTGGTTTAGTCCCCTGGTTTAGACCTGGTTTACCTGGTTTAGTCCTGGTTTAGTCCTGGTTTAGTCCTGGTTTAGTCCTGGTTTAGTCCTGGTTTAGTCCTGGTTTAGACCTGGTTTAGACCTGGTTTAGTTAGTCCTGGTTTAGTCCTGGTTTAGTCCTGGTTTAGAACCTGGTTTAGACCTGGTTTAGTCCTGGTTTAGACCTGGTTTAGTCCTGGTTTAGTCCTGGTTTAGTCCTGGTTTAGACCTGGTTTAGACCTGGTTTAGTTTACCCTGGTTTAGTCCTGGTTTACCTGGTCCTGGTTTAGTTTACCTGGTTTAGTCCTGGTTTAGTCCTGGTTTAGTCCTGGTTTAGTCCTGGTTTAGTCCTGGTTTAGTCCTGGTTTAGTCCTGGTTTAGTCCTGGTTTAGTCCTGGTTTAGACCTGGTTTAGTTTAGACCTGGTTTAGACCTGGTTTAGACCTGGTTTAGACCTGGTTTAGACCTGGTTTAGTCCTGGTTTAGTCCTGGTTTAGTCCTGGTTTAGTCCTGGTTTAGTCCTGGTTTAGTCCTGGTGTTTTCACCTCTTGTCCTCCAGCGCTCGGAGAATGTCTCTGTCTTCTTCATCTTCTTCTTCTTCTTCACTGTCTTCGTACGCGGCCCGGGAGCTCGCGGGCAGCACTTCTCCGAAGAACGTCGCCATTTTGTGAGTTTTCCTCCTCCGCTTCCGCTTCTTCTTCTTCTTCTTCTTCTAAAGGAGTTTAGCGAAAAACCACCGGATCTTTACCGCCCCCGAGTGATGAGGAGAGAAACTGAAACACGACTCAAACAAGACTAAACCAGAACTAAACCAGAACTAAACCAGGACTAAACCAGGACTAAAACCAGAACTAAACCAGGACTAAACCAGGACTAAACCAGGACTAAACCAGGAAACCAGGTCTAAACCAGACTAAACCAGGACTAAACCAGGACTGAACCAGGACTAAACCAGGACTAAACCAGGTCTAAACCAGGACTAAACCAGGACTAAACCAGGACTAAACCAGGTCTAAACCAGGACTAAACCAGGACTAAACCAGGTCTAAACCAGGACTAAACCAGGTCTAAACTAAACCAGAACTAGTCTAAACCAGGACTAAACCAGAACTAAACCAACTAAACCAGGACTAAACCAGAACCAGACTAAACCAGGACTAAACCAGGACTAAACCAGGACTAAACCAGAACTAAACCAGGACTAAACCAGGACTAAACCAGGTCTAAACCAGACTAAACCAGAACTAAACCAGGTCTAAACCAGGACTAAACCAGGTCTAAACCAGGACTAAACCAGAACTAAACCAGGTCTAAACCAGGACTAAACCAGGTCTAAACCAGGACTAAACCAGGACTAAACCAGGACTAAACCAGGTCTAAACCAGGTCTAAACCAGGACTAAACCAGAACTAAACCAGGACTAAACCAGAACTAAACCAGGTCTAAACCAGGACTAAACCAGAACTAAACCAGGACTAAACCAGGTCTAAACCAGGACTAAACCAGAACTAAACCAGGACTAAACCAGGACTAAACCAGGTCTAAACCAGGACTAAACCAGAACTAAACCAGGACTAAACCAGAACTAAACCAGGTCTAAACCAGGACTAAACCAGAACAAACCAGAACTAAACCAGGACTAAACCAGAACTAAACCAGGACTAAACCAGACTAAACCAGAACTAAACCAGGTCTAAACCAGGACTAAACCAGAACTAAACCAGGACTAAACCAGAACTAAACCAGGACTAAACCAGGACTAAACCAGGACTCGCAACACGACAATAACAAAAAACAAGAATAAAACCGGCAGACGTGTAAACGTAAGTGCACTATTTGGTCATTTTATGTTTAGAGTTTAAAAATAATTCTTAAAGTCTAGGAAAGTGATTTTAAGAATTTAGATTTTGTGAAATTACGAGACATTTTACTTTGAGTTTTTGCCGTTTGTTGTTTTTATTTTATTTTGACAGGTCCGCGGTGTTGTTGTTCCGCACTTCCGCCGCAGCGCCGGAAACACGCGAGAGGCGGGAGGTGAGACTGGAGCGCCCCCCTCGGTGGAGCGCGTGTACTGCAGCTCGTGTTTTGTTTGTTTATTTTTAATTTAAATTAAAAATAAAATAAAAAAAAAAATAAAAATAAAATAAAATAAAATAAAAAAAATAACTAAAACTGCTGATTGTGAAAACAGTTTATTTTATTTTTTCATTTTAGTGTAAAAAAAAAAAAAAAAAAACAGATTTCGACGTCTATTTCCAATATTTAATTTAAAGTTTGTTTAAAAATAACAACGACCAAGAAAACTGAGACCAAAACCAGGACCAAGACCAAAACCAGACCAAAACCAAAACCAGACCAAAACCCAGACCAAGACCAAAACCAAGACCAAAACTGAGACCAGACCTGAGACTGTATTTTTGCGGTCTTGGTCTCGTCTCGGTCTTGAGGGCGTTTGGACTCAATCTTGTCTCGGTCTTGTCTCGGTCTCGACCTTTGAAAGTCTCGATCTGGTCCTGGTCTCGGGACCCGGCGGTCTGGTCCTGGTCTCGGGACCCCGCGGTCTGGTCCTGGTTTTGGTCTCAAAAAACTGCAGCGGTTTTTCAGGTTCGTCCTTCAGCAGCAAAACTTCAAATAAACCAGAAAATAAAAAATCAACATTAAAAAAACCAAGACTGTTTTTCGGTCATTGTTTTTTTAAATAAACTTTAAATTAAATATTGGAAATCGAGGTCGAAATATGTTTTTTTTTGTTTGACACTAAAACAGAAAAAATGAAATAACAAATTGTTTTCCCATTTTATAGTTTTTCGTTCTTATTTAAAAGTTAAAAAAACAACAACAAACGTACGCAGACGTAAAAGGATCTGTTCACTGGAAAACTACCACTTCATGACATCACAAGGTGGAACAGAGCGTTTGGAGCATCACAACACCACGAAATAACAAAGAGCAAAAATCTGTCACATAAGAGTGAGTTGTACAGTTGTAGGGAGTATTATCTGTTACATAAGAGTGAGTTGTACAGTTGTAGGGAGTATTATCTGTTACATAAGAGTGAGTTGTACAGTTGTAGGGAGTATTATCTGTCACATAAGAGTGAGTTGTACAGTTGTAGGGAGTATTATCTGTCACATAAGGGTGTTTTTGCTGATGTGTGTTGCGTCACCATGGTAACCGCTGAACATTCTACCATAGAGATACATGTAAAACAGCATAACGTCACAGTACAAGGTCATCCTGGTACTCACGGAAAAACAGGTCCGCCCCTGTCCCGCGTCCCTGTCTAATGAGGGCAGGTCCGCCCCTGTCCCAGTTTGAACTAGACCAGGTCCCACAGCTCCTGACGTGAATAGAAACTCCAGGGAAAAACTGACTTTTCCTCAAACACCAGAACCAGAACTAAGTCCAGGTCTAAACCAGGACTAAACCAGGACTAAACCAGGACTAAACCAGGACTAAACCAGGACTAAACCAGGACTAAACCAGGACTAAACCAGGACTAAACCAGGACTAAACCAGGACTAAACCAGGACTAAACCAGGACTAAACCAGGACTAAACCAGGAGGTCTAAACCAGGACTAAACCAGGACTAAACCAGGACTAAACCAGGACTAAACCAGACTAAACCAGGACTAAACCAGGTCTAAACCAGGACTAAACCAGGACTAAACCAGGTCTACCAGGTCTAAACCAGGACTAAACCAGGTCTAAACCAGGACTAAACCAGGACTAAACCAGGTCTAAACCAGGACTAAACCAGGACTAAACCAGACTAAACCAGGACTAAACCAGATCTAAACCAGGTCTAAACCAGGACTAAACCAGGTCTAAACCAGGACTAAACCAGGACTAAACCAGGACTAAACCAGGTCTAAACCAGGTCTAAACCAGGACTAAACCAGGACTAAAACCAGGACTAAAACCAGGACTAAACCAGGACTAAACCAGGTCTAAACCAGAACTAAACCAGGACTAAACCAGATCTAAACCAGGTCTAAACCAGGACTAAACCAGGGCTAAACCAGGCTAAACCCAGGACTAAACCAGGACTAAACCAGACTAAACCAGACTAAACCAGACTAAACTAAACCAGGTCTAAACCAGGTCTAAACCAGGACTAAACCAGGACTAAACCAGGACTAAACCAGGACTAAACCAGGACTAAAACAGGACTAAACCAGGACTAAACCAGTCTAAACCAGAACTAAACCAGACTAAACCAGATCTAAACCAGGTCTAAACCAGGACTAAACCAGGACTAAACCAGGTCTAAACCAGGTCTAAACCAGGACTAAACCAGGACTAAACCAGGACTAAACCAGGTCTAAACCAGGACTAAACCAGGTCTAAACCAGGAACTAAACCAGGACTAAACCAGGACTAAACCAGGACTAAACCAGGACTGTGTGTGTGCTGTCAGTCTGTTGTGTTGGTGTGTGTTGGTGTGATGTGTGTGTGTGTGTGTGTGTGTGTTGTGTGTGTTGGTGTGTGTGTGTGTGTGTGTGTGTCGGTGTGATGTGTGTGTGTGTGTTGTGTGTGTGTGTGTGTGTGTGTGTGTGTGTGTGTGTGTGTGTGTGTGTGTGTGTGTGTGTGTGTGTGTGTCGTGTGTGTGTGTGTGTGTGTGTCGGTGTGTGTGTGTGTGTGTGTGTCGGTGTGATGTGTGTGTGTGTGTGTGTGTCGGTGTGATGTGTGTGTCGGTGTGTGTGTGTGTGTGTGTGTGTGTGTGTGTGTGTGTGTGTGTGTGTGTGTGTGTGTGTGTGTGTGTCGGTGTGTGTTGTGTGTGTGTGTGGTGTGATGTGTGTGTGTGGTGTGTGTGTGTGTGTGTGTGTGTGTGTGTCGGTGTGATGTGTGTGTGTGTGTGTGTGTGTGTGTGTTGTGTGTGTGTCGTGTGTGTGTGTGTGATGTGTGTGTGTGGTGTGTGTGTCGTGTGTGTGTGTCGTGTGTGTCGGTGTGTGTGTGTGTGTGTGTGTGTGTGTGTGTGTGTGTCGTGTGTGATGTGTGTGTGTGTGTGTGTGTGTGTGTGTCGGTGTGATGTGTGTGTCGGTGTGTGTGTGTGTGTGTGTGTGTCGGTGTGTGTGTCGGTGTGTGTGTGTGTGTGTGTGTGTGTGTCGGTGTGATGTGTGTGTGTGTGTGTGTGTGTGTGTGTGTGTGTGTGTGTGTGTGTGTGAGTGTGTGTGTGTGTGTGTGTGTGTGTGTGTGTGTGTGTGTGTGTGTGTGTGATGTGTGTGTCGTGTGTGTGTGTGTGTGTGTGTGTGGTGTGTGTGTCGTGTGTGATGTGTGTGTGTGTGTGTGTGTGTGTGTGTGTGTGTGGTCGTGTGTTGTGTTGTGTGTGTGTGGTGTGATGTGTGTGTGTGTGTGTGTGTGTGTGTGTGTGTGTCTGTGTGTGTGTGTGTGTGTGGTGTGTGTGTGTGTGTGTGTGTGTGTGTGTGTGTGTGTGTGTGTGTGTGTGTGTGTGTGTGTCGGTGTGTGTGTGTGTGTGTGTGTGTGTGTGTGTGTGTGATGTGTGTGTGTGTGTGTGTGTGTGTGTGTGTGTGATGTGTGTGTCGTGTGTGTGTGTGTCGTGTGTGTGTGTGTGTGTGTGTGTGATGTGTGTGTGTGTGTGTGTGTGTGTGTGTGTGTGTGTGTGTGTGTGTGTGTGTGTGTGTGTGTGTGTGTGTGTCGTGTGATGTGTGTGTGTGTGTGTGTGTGTGTGTGTGTGTCGGTGTGATGTGTGTGTGTGTGTCGTGTGTGATGTGTGTGTGTGTGTGTCGGTGTGATGTGTGTGTGTGTGTGTGTGTGTGTGTGTGTGTGTGTGTGTGTGTGTGTGTGTTGTGTGTGTGTGTGTGTGTGTGTGTGTGTGTGTCGTGTGTGATGTGTGTGTCGTGTGTGTGTGTGTGTGTGTGTGTCGGTGTGTGTGTGTGTGTGTGTGTGTGTGTGTGTGTGTGTGTGTGTGTGTGTGTGTGTGTGTCGGTGTGATGTGTGTGTCGTGTGTGTGTGTGTGTGTGTGTGTGTGTGTGTGTGTGTGTGTGTGTCGGTGTGTGTGTGTGTGTGTGGTTGTGTGTTGTGTGTGTGTGTGGTGTGTGTTGTGTGTGTGTGTGTGTGTGTGTGTGTGTGTGTGTGTGTGTGTGTGTGTGTGTGTGTGTGTGTGTGTGTGTGTGTGTGTGTGTGTGTGTGTGTGTCGTGTGTGTGTGTGTGTGTGTGTGTGTGTGTTGTGTGTGTGTGTGTGTGTGTGTGTGTCGGTGTGTGTGTGTGTGTGTGTGTGTGTGTGTGTGTGTGTTGTGTGTGTGTGTGTGTGTGTGTGTGTGTGTGTCGGTGTGTGTGTGTGTGTGTGTGTGTGTGTTGTGTGTGTTGTGTGTGTCGGGTGTGATGTGTGTGTTGTGTGTGTGTGTGTCGTGTGTGTGTGTGTTGGTGTGTGTTGTGTGTGGTGTGTGTCGTGTGTGTGTGTGTGTGTGTGTGTGTGTGTGTCGGTGTGTGTCGGTGTGATGTGTGTGTGTCGTGTGTGTGTGTGTGTGTGTGTGTGTGTGTGTGTGTGTGTGTGTGTGTGTGTCGGTGTGATGTGTGTGTCGTGTGTGTGTGTGTGTGTGTCGTGTGTGTGATGTGTTGTGCAGGACCCCCCCCCCCCCACGCGGTCAGCTGACCGAGCATCTGCGCGTGCTTCGCGGACAAACGTGCTTCCCATGATTCCGAGGGGTCCGCATCAGTCTGACCACACCCACCTGAGCGCGCGCACCGCGCGGCTCTGGAGCGGGATGGAGCCCGCACTGTGTCTGTGAAGGGCACCGCTGCGGGACGCTCTTCCTCTGCGGGACGCTCTTCCTCTGCGGGACGCTCTTCCTCTGCGGGACGCTCTTCCGCCGCGCTCCGCCGCGCTCTGCCGCCTGCTCGACGCTTTCCAGGTAAGAGCGGTGTCTGTGCGCGGTGCACGAGCCCCGGTCCGGTCCAGATGCGGGGGGAGGGACGCCGCCGCTGCGCCGAACCGGGGCCCGGAGCCGTAGAACCGCGCGCGCGGCACCGAGAGCGGAGCTCCGCTGTCTCTGTGTCCGTCAGTCCGGCTCCCGCCTCCGGCCCCCGCCGCCGCCTCACGCCGGGGGCGGCTGCGGGGCGGCGGGGTGGGGGGTGGGGTGGGGGGGCCGTGCCCGGGGCCGTTTGTCCCGCGTGTATTCACGTGCGTGTGCGTGTGTGTGCGTGTGTGTGTCGCAGGGATGCTCCGGGGCTGACGGTGTGACGCGGGGGACACGGACATGGCGGCCAGGGGCCACGCCGCGGGGCCCGCGGAGTCTCCGCGCTGCGCCGGGAACAACAACGGGACGTGCGCAGAGCAGCTCGGCTTCCCGCCCTTCTCCTCCACGCTCGCGCTCATTGTGCTGGTGCTCGTGCTCGTGGGGATCGTTCTGGTTTCCTTGGCAACCTTCCATCTCCACAAGAGGAAGCTCCATAAAAGGAAAATCCTGCGTGCGCAGGAGGAGTACGAGCGCGACAGGCGCAGCCCCGCGCGCGCCTCCGCCAACGAGCTCGTGAGACCGAGTGTCATTGTTCGGCCGCTCCGAAGTGAAGAGAGGCCCCGGGGCCCCAGCGGGGGCCCCCCCGCCGAGGGACCCCCTGCCGAGACCCAGGGACCCCCCACCCAGGGCCTGGGACCCCCCGCCGACGGACCCCCCGCCGAGGGCCTGGGACCCCCCGCCGAGTCCCCCCCCGCTGGGGGCCCCAGTGACTGTTGACGCAACTTCAGGGAAAACTGAACAGCAATAACTGGACACAACCCCCCACAGCTGCACCTCCAGATCTGTGGACCTGAGGACCTGATTTAGACCAGACTCATGTCCCCCATGTCCCTCATGTCCCCCATGTCCCTCATGTCCTCCATGTCCTCCATGTCCCTCATGTCCCTCAGAGCCGATCAGAGCTGGAGCGGTTCTGCCCAAACCAGGTCCTTCAGGTCTTCAGCCTTTATAGAACTGCTTCTGTATATTTCTGTTCTTCCAGTCGCCTCTGGTCCTCGCCGGTCCAGGTCCAGGTCCCGGTCTGGTCCCGGTCTGGTCCAGGTCCAGGTCCCGGTCCCGGTCCCGGCGGGGTGTGGTGGCCGTGCTGTGGGGGGCGTCCTGAGGGGGGGGCATGTTCTGGTGGACAGACTTTGGGCTTTAGCTTAGTTCTGCTTTAGTGTCGAGTCCTGACGACCTGTAGTTCTGCACATTTACTCTGTACATACGAGAAACTCTGTACCTGCCTCCTGTAGAGCCTGTAGTCCAGCTCCGCCCGCACCTCCACCCGCACCTCCACCCGCACCTCCACCTCCACCCGCACCTCCACCTCCACCCGCACCTCCACCTCCACCCGCACCTCCACCCGCACCTCCACCTCCTCCGCACCTCCCCCGCACCTCCACCTTCACCCGCACCTCCACCCGCACCTCCACCTTCACCCCACCTCCACCCGCACCTCCACTCCACCCACCCACCCGCACCTCCACCTCCACCCGCACCCCACCTCCACCCGCACCTCCACGCACCTCCACCTGCACCTCCACCCGCACCTCCACCTCCACCCGCACCTCCACCTTCACCCGCACCTCCACCCGCACCTCCACCTGCACCTCCACCCGCACCTCCAGCTCCACCCGCACCTCCACCCGCACCTCCACCCGCACCTCCAACTGCACCTCCAGCTCCACCCGCACCTCCACCCGCACCTCCACCTCCACCCGCACCTCCACCTTCACCCGCACCTCCACCCGCACCTCCACCTGCACCTCCACCCGCACCTCCACCCGCACCTCCAACTGCACCTCCACCCGCACCTCCAGCTCCACCTGCACCTCCACCCGCACCTCCACCCGCACCTCCACCTCCACCCGCACCTCCACCCGCACCTCCACCTGCTCCTCCACCTCCAACTGCACCTCCACCTCCAACTGCACCTCCACCCGCACCTCCACCTCCACCCGCACCTCCACCTGCTCCTCCACCCGCACCTCCACCTCCACCCGCACCTCCACCCGCACCTCCACCTGCTCCTCCAGCTCCACCTGCATCTCCACCTCCACCCGCACCTCCACCTGCATCTCCACCTCCACCCACACCTCCACCTCCACCCGCACCTCCACCTCCACCTCCTTAAACTCAAACGCTTCTTTATAATAAACAATAAGGAAAAACGACTGAGCCTGTTTAAATATCTGCACCAAAAATACACACAAGTACACACAAGTACTCATAAGTACTCACAAGTACACACAAGAACACGCAAGTACACACAAGTACAAGTACACACAAGAACACACAAGTACACACAAGTACTCACAAGAACACACAAGTACACACAAGTACAAGTACACACAAGTACTCACAAGAACACACAAGTACACACAAGTACTCACAAGAACACACAAGTACACACAAGTACTCATAAGTACACACAAGTACACACAAGAACACACAAGTACTCATAAGTACACACAAGTACTCACAAGTACACACAAATACACACAAGAACACACACACAAGTACACACTGGAACACACACAAGTACACACAAAAACACACAAGTACTCACAAGTACACACAAGTACTCACATGTACACACAAGAGTGGAGTGAGGGATGAGGAGAAAGGAGAGAGAAAAGGAGAAAGGAGAGGAGGAGTGAGGGATGAGGGAGGAGAGGACATGTCCTTGAGAGACACGTCTCAGAGGGACGTTGTAATTGTGCAGGACGAGTCCGTGGGCGTATCCCCAGAGCCTCCAGTCCTCACTGAACTGTCCCTGTCCTCACTGTCCTCCCTGTCCTGTCCTGTCACTGTCTGTCCTGTCTGTCTGTCCTGTCCCTGTCCTGTCCCTGTCCCTGTCCCTGTCCTGTCCCTGTCCCTGTCCCTGTCCCTGTCCCTGTCCCTGTCCCTGTCCCTGTCCTGTCTCTGTCCTGTCTGTCCTGTCTCTGTCCCTGTCCTGTCCTGTCCCTGTCCTGTCCCTGTCCCTGTCCCTGTCCCTGTCCCTGTCTCTGTCCTGTCCCTGTCCCTGTCCCTGTCCCTGTCTGTCCTGTCCCTGTCTCTGTCCCTGTCCCTGTCCCTGTCTCTGTCCCTGTCTCTGTCCCTGTCCTGTCCCTGTCTCTGTCCCTGTCCTCTGTCCTGTCCCTGTCCCTGTCTCTGTCCCTGTCCTGTTCTGTCCCTGTCCCTGTCTCTGTCTCTGTCCCTGTCCCTGTCTCTGTCTCTGTCTCTGTCCCTGTCTCTGTCCCTGTCTCTGTCTCTGTCCCTGTCTGTCTCTGTCCCTGTCCCTGTCTCTGTCCCTGTCCCTGTCCTGTCTGTCTCTGTCCTGTCTGTCTCTGTCCCTGTCCCTGTCTCTGTCCCTGTCCCTGTCCTGTCTCCCTGTCCCTGTCTCTGTCCCTGTCCCTGTCTCTGTCTCTGTCCCTGTCCCTGTCTCTGTCTCTGTCTCTGTCCCTGTCCCTGTCCCTGTCCCTGTCTCTGTCTCTGTCCCTGTCCCTGTCTCTGTCTGTCCCTGTCCTGTCTCTGTCTCTGTCCCTGTCTCTGTCTCTGTCCCTGTCCCTGTCTCTGTCTCTGTCCCTGTCCCTGTCCTGTCCCTGTCTCTGTCTCTGTCCCTGTCCCTGTCTCTGTCCCTGTCCCTGTCCCTGTCCCTGTCTCTGTCTCTGTCCCTGTCCCTGTCCTGTCTGTCCTGTCTCTGTCCCTGTCCCTGTCCTCTGTCCCTGTCTCTGTCTCTCTGTCCCTGTCTCTGTCCTGTCCCTGTCCCTGTCTCTGTCCCTGTCCCTGTCCCTGTCCCTGTCCCTGTCTCTGTCTCTGTCCCTGTCCCTGTCTCTGTCCCTGTCCCTGTCTGTCCTGTCCCTGTCTCTGTCTCTGTCCCTGTCCCTGTCTCTGTCCCTGTCTCTGTCTCTGTCCCTGTCCCTGTCTCTGTCCCTGTCTCTGTCTCTGTCCCTGTCCCTCTGTCTGTCTCTGTCCTCTGTCCTGTCTCTGTCCCTGTCTCTGTCCCTGTCCCTGTCCCTGTCTCTGTCCCTGTCTCTGTCCTCTGTCCCTGTCTCTGTCCCTGTCTCTGTCCCTGTCTCTGTCTCTGTCTCTGTCCCTGTCCCTGTCTCTGTCCCTGTCTCTGTCTCTGTCCCTGTCCCTGTCTGTCTCTGTCTCTGTCTCTGTCTGTCCTGTCCCTGTCTGTCCTGTCTCTGTCCCTGTCCCTGTCTGTCTGTCTCTGTCCCTGTCTCTGTCCCTGTCTCTGTCCCTGTCTCTGTCTCTGTCCCTGTCCCTGTCTCTGTCCCTGTCCTCTGTCCCTGTCCCTGTCTCTGTCCCTGTCTCTGTCTGTCTCTGTCCTGTCTCTGTCTCTGTCTCTGTCTCTGTCCCTGTCCCTGTCTGTCCTGTCCCTGTCTCTGTCTCTGTCCCTGTCCCTGTCCCTGTCTCTGTCCCTGTCCCTGTCTCTGTCTCTGTCCCTGTCTCTGTCTCTGTCTCTGTCCCTGTCTCTGTCCTGTCCCTGTCTCTGTCCCTGTCTCTGTCTCTGTCCCTGTCTCTGTCCCTGTCCCTGTCTCTGTCTTTGTCCTTGTCCTGTCTTTGTCCTTGTTTCATATTCTGATCACCATCACTCTGTGATGTCACTCTGTAAATTGTACAAATCGTTTTCTTCGTTAAATTTGTTTTTTGTTTTGTGTTTTTCTGTTGTTTACGACGTTTGTGCAGTGACATGAACCCATAACCCATAAAAAACAATCTATGAATCTTTTTGTGTAAATGTTTTAGACCCTTTTGTTTAATTGACCTTTTATTTTCCTGTTCATTTTTATTTTAAATTAATTTTTTTAAGTTACCGTTTAACTCCCGAGTTTGTGTTCGCTCCTTGACTCTATCGGAGTAAAAATCCCACTGATCAAACTCCTGCAGTTGCCTCAGGTCTGTCAGCTTTTATTTCTGAATTAAATAGTTTTGAAATATTCTCCTTGGAGTTTCCGTGGACGTCATAATTCTGATTTGAGGTTTCCATGGAAACTCGTTAAATTGTTTTTATTTATTGTGTCTCAGCGGCTGGAGAATCGTCTCATCAAACTTTCTGTCTGTCGCTGAGGAGGAGAAGGAGGAAGAAGACAAAAGCTCAGCCCACATCCCGCATCCCGCTCACAAATCCAAAGAGACGTGGATCAAAGTCCCGAGACACGACTGGACCAGGACCAGGACCAGGACCAGGACCAGGACCAGGACCAGGACCAGAACCAGGACCAGGACCAGGAACCAGAACCAGGACCAGGACCAGGACCAGGAGGACGACACGACGAGCCTGAAGCACCAGCAGCATTTGAACAACAACAAACCACAAACAGGATCCAGGAAACAAACTCAGTCACATTTAACATCAGAACAAAACAAACTCTTACTTCACTGTTATTTAGTTTATTTTTTATTAGGAGTTAAGTGTTTACATGTTTTGTTTTTATTCAGACTTAAATTATTTTTCTTGAGTTTGGATTATGAACCGGCTGTACGGACGGTTTGAATAGGGCCCGAGAGAGATCCCTATATTACTCAAACCAGGATGAGTCTAAAACCTCAGGCTTTGTGTTTCTGATGAGGGAAAAATGTTCTAATGGTCCAAACAGTCGGGAGCCAAAGTCTCAAAAGCTCTAGAAAATGGGTTGAACCTGCCACACTTTTTATTTGTGTTTTTTTTGTTAACTGTGACCCTGAGGACCAATAACTGGAGGCTCTGCTCTTCCGGAAATATCGCAAAAAAAAATTTGTGGCCATTT